TATTCCTTCCATCTCTTCTTGATGCATTCTGCATCATTCAATAATTTTCCCAGTGAATGTAAAATGTATCAAGTATGAATTTAGGAAAATTGGAAGTAGTCAATAATCAATTGGAACACATAAAAGATCCATATCTAGGCATTAGAGTGAGCTGAAATGGACTGCTATTGGTCATTTTGAATCAGACACTTTTATGGTCTACTATCCTTAGAATGACAAAATGTAGAGAAATGCTGCCACATTCATCACCAAAAAGAACATTTCAAGACCTGTTTTGAAGTGCAGCAGTATTAGTGATAGAATAATATGCATGGGCCTCTAAGGAAGCCCAGTTAATATGAATATTATTCAGATTAGTACACTAAACACTAATGCCAAAGATGAAGGAACTGAAGATTTTTACCAACTTCTGCAGTCTGATATTGAATGCAGTCAAGATACATTGATAATTACTGGTTATTGGAATGAGAAAGTTAGAAACAAAGAAGAAAGATATGTAGTTGGAAAATATGACCTTGCTGATAGAAACAGTTGATAGAAACTGGCTATCCCATGATGAATTTTTGCAATCTCAACAACTTATTCATTGCAAATGCCTTTTTCAACAACAAAATGGTGACTACATATGTGGACCTCATGGATGGAATATATGGGAATCAAGTTGAATATATCTGTGGAAAGGGACAAGCGAGCAATAAAGTTCAATATCATCAGTCAGAACAAGGCCAGGGGTCAACTGTGGGACAGACTACCAATTGCTCATATGCAAGTTCAAGTTAAAGCTGAAGAAAACTACAAGTCCATAAGAGCAACAGTATGACTTTGGATGTATCCCACCTCAATTTAACAATTATTTCAAAAACAGAAAGGGCTTCTGATGGTGCCATAGGCTAAGCATTGGGCTGCTAACAGAAAGGCCTATGGTTGAGCCCATCAGCCACTCACTCCATGAGAGTAAGATGAGACAGTCTACACCCATAAAGATATACAGCCTCAGAAACCGTGTAGAGCAGTTCTGCTCTGTCCTGGAATCAACTCATCAACAGTGGGTTAGGTTTGGTTTTCAAGAGTAGATTGTTGTACTGAGCACTAATGACCAAAGTCCAGATGAGCTGTGGGATGACATCAAGGCCATTCAAAGATGAAGAAAGCAAAAATGTCATTAAAAAGACAGGAAAGAGGAAAAAAGAACAAGATGAATATCAGAAGAGACACAGAAACTTGCTCTTGAAGGTAAAGTAGGTAAAGCAGAAGGAAAAAATGATGAAATAAAAGAGCTAAACAGATTTCAAAGGGTGTCTTAAGTTGCAATATTGACAAAATAGTCAACAATACAGGAAGCATCAAAAGAAAATAGAAGGAATACACAGAGTCGCTGTTCTAAAAAGAATTGGCTGATATTCAACCATTTCAGGAGGTAATATGTGATCAAGAACCCATGGTAGTGAAGGAAAAAGTTCAAGACCAATAAAATAGAATTGAAAACTCAGAAGTAAATCCATCCACTTAAGGTCTTTCATCCCTGGAGAAGTACATCATGCGTGCAAAAGTGGAGGGTCAATGAAACAGAGGAAGAATTCAAAAAGATAGATTGATACAGTAGCAGCAACAATGAGTTCAAACATAAACAACAGTTGTGCCGGGTTGGGCAGTATTTCATTCTGTTGTGCAAAGGTTTGCTATGACTCAGAACCAACTCAATGATACCTCACAATAACAAAGCCCAGGATATCGACCTTTATGCGTTCCATTTAATTTTTTTACTACTTGAAATTTTTCTAGATTCATACTTCATACATTCCATGTTCTGATTATTAATGAATGTTTGGAGCTGTTTTATCAGCAATTGAAGGTCTTGAAAACTTTGCTCCACCAAAGTCATTAAGGTCAACTCTACTTTAAGGAAGAAGTTCTTCCCCAGTCACATTTTGAGTGCTTTCTGGACTGTGTTTTGCAACTCATAAGGTTTTTAATTTCTAACACTTTGGAAGTAATTCACCTGCCCCTCTTTCTAGTCTGTAAGTTCCACTGAAACTTGTCCAACATGGGTGTCCTTGCTGGTATTTAAAATACTGTTGGCATAGTTTCCAGTAACACATAAGTACGACAGACTGAAAGTCAAGTGTTAGATTCTGTGTTATGATGATTGTTCTTTTATACTTCCTACCAAATTGAAATTTCCCGGAAGATGGGGACCATAAATGCCTCTTACAGCCCTTTGTATATATATATATCCTCTTTTTTTTTTTTAAGTTTTAATTGTGAATTGAGTGATAGTTTACATGGGAGAACATCGGTTTTACTCTCATTGTTTCATTGCAATGATTGAAATTTTCTCTGTGCATCATAATTCAACAGTATTTGCTTCTATTCCCTCTGTTTTGTTTTGTTTTTCTTGGGGGGGGGGTTTGGAGGGTGTACACCAAA